ATTTTGTGTGTTAACTTGGCTAGGCTGCAGATATTTGGTCAAACGTGATTCTAGATGTTTCTGTGAAGGTGCTTTTTATTTTATTTTATTTTATTTTATTTTATATTTTTAAGGATTTTATTTATTTATTCATGAGAGACAGAGAGAGAGGGAGAGAGAGAGAGAGAAGCAGGCTCCCCAAGGAGCAGGGAGCCTGATGCGGGTCTCGATCCCAGGACCCTGGGATCATGACCTGAGCTGAAGGCAGACGCTTTACCATCTGAGCCACCTAGGCGCCCTTTATTTTATTTTTTAAAATTAATTTATTTTATTTATTTATTTGAGAAAGAGAGCAGAATAAGAGAGAGGACAGGAGTGGGGATGGGGAAAGGGCAGAGCAAGAGGCAGAAACAGACTCCTCGCAGAGCAGGGAGCCCAGCACGGGGCTCGATCCCAGGACCCGGGATCACACCCTGAGCCGAAGGCAGACATTTAACCGACTGAGCCACCCAGGTGCCCGTGAAGGTGTTTTTTAGATGAGACTAACATTTAACTCCGTAAACTGTGAGTAAAGCAGATTACCCTCCATAATGTGGATGGGCCTCATCCAAATAGCTGAAGGCTTTAATAGAAAAAAGACTGATCTCCCAGGAGGAAGAGAGAATTTTGCCAACAGACCTCCTTAAAACTCAAGCTGCAACTCATCCCTGGGTCTCTAGCCTGCTGGCCTACCCTGCAGATTTTGGACTCACCAGCCCCCATAATTGCACGTGCCAGTTTCCTAAAATAAATCTGTCTCACTCTCTTTCTGTTTCTCTCGGTCTCTATCATCTATCTATCTATCCATATATCTATTATCTATCTATGGAGAGACAGAGAGACATCCTATTGGTTCTGTTTCTCTGGAGAACCTTGACTCATATACTCAGCTACAACTGTTTCATTCTCAATCTCCACTTGAGATTTGATTCAGAGAACATGAAACCTCCTTAGGTCTCAAGCTACTTTAATTCAGGTGCTATGTTTTAAAAGACCTTTCTGGATGTTGTTAAATAAGGTGAAGGGGCTAGAGCGTTTCCAACCCAGCGAGTTAAATAAGGAGCCCTGTTAACTGACTAATCAGGCTGAGAAGACCTTAAGTAACATTAAATTTGACTATGCCCTGTTACCTATCTTAAAACCTGACAGGTTTTTCTGGAATTTGATGTCAAGAGATAGAACACTCCTGTTATCCATTGTTTATTCATTGTGAAGGTAACCCTTTAACCTCATACCTTCTGTAACAGCAAGAACTGCATCAGGTTCTAAACCTACCCGTTGCTGGGAATAGCGTTATTATGCCTACTGTTAATGACTCAAGCTGCAAAATGACCTCACTGACTTTGTATCAGTTTAACTCACCACCAGAGAATATATATATCTTACATAAATTCTCTTGCTTGTAAGAAGATTCTCAGACCTTGGGGTCTAGTGTTTCCTCCTTGCACACTTACAAATTGCCCATAAATAAAAAGCACTGCCTGTAACGGATTTTTTACATGATGGGAAGTCTTGCTCTCCACCCCTTTCTCCCTCCCCCCCACCTCTCCCCCTCTTCTTACCTTGCTGTTTACTTCTGATAATGAAGTCTGTCCCATCTCATCAGACCCAAAGTTCACTGCAGGCTCTCTCCATCCACTTCCCTAGGCTCTCTGCTTTTATCCCAGGCTCCCTGGGCTTCATTTCCAACTTCTCCAACTTTCACTGAGGTGGTTGGAGAACTGAGTGTTCCTTGAGACTCTAGATAGCAAGCTGGGTCTGCTACAGTAGCTGAGAGACCGAAAGGAGCCCTGTCCTTCTCATCAACTCATGTGGTGATCCTGGAAGACATCCCCCTGGGGTCCCTGTCCCATTCCTACCATCCCAGGGGAAGCATAGTTGGCTACCAGGCTCTGAGGGTCAATCTGGAAATCTCAAGACTAGGAAGGGGTTTATTGATTTTATATACTTTATTTCACTCAACAACTATTTCTGAAGACCTACCCGATGCCAGGCACTTTTCTAGAAATTGAAGGTAAGGTCTTAGCTTTCTCAGAGCTTACACTGTAGTCCATTGGAGGCTGAAATTGTGCATAGTGACAAGCAACAGATGTAGGCTTCCGATGTTCTCCTCTAAAACAGGCTGAAATGCTGAACAACTCCCCAGTTTCTGAAGCTTTGCAATGTTAATATCCTGGGTTGTTTCTGAACAAATACTTCATAGAGTTCCTTGGAACACATTTTAAAAGACAAAATTCAGGTGTCATGTCATTCCTGGTTCTCTGTTCCTCTGCAGGTAAGATCCTTCAGGAAGAAACGTGGGGTGGGAGAGACTGTCTTTGTATACCCCTTACCCCTTCCAGGCATTTCTTAGGCCCTGGGAGCTAGGGCACGCCTGGTGGTGGGAGTCCTTCATCCTCTGGAGCAGGGATGGGCCAACTGTGGCCAACAGACCAACTCCAGCCCACCAGCTGTTTTTGTAAATAAGGTTTTACTGCAACAAAACCACCTGCATTCATCTGTGTATCGTCTATGGCTGTTTTCCTGCTACAGTGGCAGAGTTCAGATATGGCTGGGTTGCAAAGCCTAAATATTCATTATTTGGCCCTTTCAGAAAGTTTGCAGACTCCTCTAGAGCAGTGGTTCCCAAAGTGTGGTCCCTGTTCCAGAGGCATCGGCATCACCCGAAACCTTGTAAAGAAGTGCAAGTTCTCACCCCACCCTAAATCTACTCAATCAGAAACTCCGGTGGGGTCCAGCAACCTGTGCTTTAGTGAGCCTTCCAGGGGATTCTGATTCGAGCTAAAGTTTAAGAATCACCCAACATACAATTTTCCCCTATAATTTTAGGGAACCATACATAACCTACCAGGAAGTCAAAGCCCACAGCAGTTTTCGAATTCCTGATCTCTCCTTATTTTTTCATGTGGTTGCTTAGAAAGGGAGCATTGCCTGTTGAGATGCATTGGCTGAGGCCTTTTAAGAGAAGCCATATCTAATGGTATTAATGATTAAGAATGATGTTCACCGCACAAAGGAGCATTAACTGATTTTATAACACTTAGGAGGGCTAATAGTTAGCTCATTGATTTATGAATATCACATCAATGTTCCTTTAAAAATGAAATCTCTTGGGTGCCTGGGTGGCTCAGTTGGTTAAGCGACTGCCTTCAGCTCAGGTCATGATCCTGGAGTCCCAGGATCGAGTCCCGCATCAGGCTCCCTGCTCGGCGAGGAGCCGGCTTCTCCCTCTGACCCTCCCCCCTCTCATGTGCTCTCTCTCATTCTCTCTCTCTCTCAAATAAATAAATAAAATCTTAAAAAAAAATGAAATCTCTTCAAATTAATTTTTGATCACTGTTGAGGAGAAGATGCTGACTGATTATATGTAGCAGTGCATGGTGATTACAAACAACTCTCTGTACCATCCCAGGGGGCCACGGATGAGTCGGACTTACAGACTGCCATGCAAGGCACAAGAAGGGCGTGCAGATGGCTGCCCTTCTTCCCTGGAGTAACAGTACCAGGTGGTGCTGCTGACTCTTGCCCACTATTGCCCTCCTCTAAAGAGGAGAAAGTCCCAAACCAGGGGCACATGGAGTTTAAATGTTTGGGATTTCTGAAATGCAGTGACAATGATGAAATAGAAGGTAAGTATTGGGAGCCCTCAGCCCATTGTTTGGAATTTCTCCAGGAACGTGAATCAGTTACGGGCGGAAAAAATTTCATCCAGCTCCCTTGAACTGGTGGCTGGTCTGGCTCTAGTTTCCAGATGCTCAGACTTGAAAAATCGTCATGAGGAAGCCTCTTCTTCCATCTTCACTTCAGGTTCAGAAATTATGTTTATGAGTTTTCCTTTCATTTAGATTACCTGTGTCCGCCCAACAGATGGGATTTTCACAGTCAGCCCAATGTTCTTTTGTTGTGTCATTAAACAAAAGAAATGAATGGAAGTGCTGTTCTAGGTGACTAGTAGAAGTTCATCATTAGGTTGGCAAAATAAATATTTTAGTTCATTTTGGACCTTCCACTCTCACCCCATTGACTCAACAGCTGCACAACTACTAATATTCTAGATGACAGGAGAGCTCGCAGGTCATATGTTCTCTACTTGGATGGTGATTGCCAATATGGACTCAATATTATTTGCATGTGTTTATGATGAAGCATTTTATACATGTGTCACCTGAATGCTTTGTCAGAAATAGTACCATGCTAGTTCTGTATTTTTATTGCTAATTTCTGTTTTATTCTCAAATAGACTATAGGCTATTTTCTACTGCACACTTGGCAAACTACAAGCTGTGAGTAAAATTTTGCCTGATGTCTGTTGTGTAAATAAAGTTTTATTGAAACACATTCATGCCCATTTGCTTACATATTGCTTAATGCTACTTTTTTGCCACAATGGCAAGGTTGAGTAGTTGTGACAGAGGTCATGTGGCTTTCTAAGTCAAAAAATATTTACTGTCTGGTCCTTTGCAGTTAGGTTTGGTGAGCCCTATATACTGCAGGAAAAAAAAGTAGAAGCAAAGAGCTTTGTCACCCAGTAAATATTTTGATAATGGACCACTTTAGGATTTTCCATAATTTATTTTTAAGCCTTTATTTCTTATGTGTATAGAAACATGACATGGGTAGATCCTTGCAGGGAGTGCCATCTTTCCTACCTGTGATTTGGTGATATGAGCTGTAAAGAACAGTTTATGACAGAATGTAGGAAGACACTGTTCTAGGGGCCGTGTTGAAACTCTTCTTTGAGTCAAAATATGGGAAGCAGCCTCCTAGAAAATGCCTCCTAGAAAATGCCCCCTATCCCCTGCTCCTCGGGATCATGTCCTTGTATAACACACTGCCCTTGACTGTGGGCTGGATCTGATGACTGGCTTCTACTGGACAGAATGTGGCATAAGTGATGGACGTTGTTTCTGATATTAGGTCATAAAAAGACCGTGACTTCTGTCTCTCATTCTCTCTTGCTGCCCTGGTTTGCTTACCTTCAGGAGAGCCAGACCATGAAGCAGTCCTGTGAGGAGACACATGGGCTAGGGACTGGGCCCTGCCAACAGCCACGTGAGTGAACTAGAAGCTGATTCATGGCCCCCACACCATATGAGAGCCCAGCCCTGGCTGACAGATTGCCTGTAACCTCCTGAGAGACTCTGAGTCCCAGGAACCCAGCTAAACCACCTTGGATTCCTACCCACCAAGATGGTGAGATAATAAATGTTTGTTGTTTTAAGCCACTACATTTTGGGGGTAATTTGTTATGCAGCTATAGGTAACTATTACTGAGGAAAAAAACACCAGAGCTGAACTAGGAAATGATAAAACTTTTAGGTGGATATAACTTTTTCAGTCTGCTTTAAGTTAAATGAAATTGGAAAATATTACACAGGTGTTCTGAAGACAAGATTCACAGCAACTGTACTCATAGTTTTGAAGGGGAAAAACACTTTACTGATGTTATAAAAATCTAATGGAAACAGAAGAAAAGGGAAATCTGCACATAGATGAGGGCAACCATAAGCAGTAAAGAATAAGACAGAATCACATCAGATCAGGTGCTTACAACATCCAACCTCATCAGCTGGGGAAGCCCCATGGGAACCCCTTCATTAGCTGGGGAAGCCCCCCCCCCCCAGCCCTCTGTGGAGATAGCCAGGCTGGAGTCCCAGTTGAGAGCCTGGGTGGAGCATCCTCCCCTCAGGTGAGACTTCCAATGACCATCTCCATATGGGTCTTTTTTATAGGGCAAATGATGGGGTCTGAAGTTAAACAATTCTTTGCCTACGTGCAGTTTGGAGAGAGCTGCATTTCTATGTTATCGTGTCTTGAGATTTTCAAGGATGATGGGCTAGGTGTGTTTGCCTTCCCTCCCAGATTCTACTCCAGGAGGCCAGAGCAGCCTGGAGCCAGATGAGATAGAAGGCGAGATTTACACCTCTTGGCGTCCAGATCAGAAGGGCTATTTCTGACCTGGAGGCCAGCTAATGTCAACTCACCAGGATCCCGAGGTCACTCATGCATGAGTCTCACAAACAACATGCTTTAGCCTGCCTGCCTACGTGCAGACCACGGTGGTCGGTTATGCGGGACACATCACAGAAACCCCCATTCATACAATACAACAGGTAAATTAGTGCTCTTTCCAAGCGTACTGTTATTTTCCATGAGTTCAGATGTCCCCACCTCTTAGCCTGTGTGTCCTGGCATGGGTCAGCCTTCTGCTCTGGGGCCAGGCAGGATGTGGCAGGTGGATCTCCACCTATCTTTATGCACAGAGCTGATACCATAGCTCATGTGGGAGAATGGTCTCAGTATATCCGAACTGGCCAATATGTATATAAACCAACAGGCGAGGAAATGCTCACTTTGTGTTGAGCTGCTAGTTCTTGCTTGGAAAATGAACCCATAGCATACCGTAAGTACAATCTGGACTTCGTAAGAATCCACACTTTGATCTGCATGCATGCTGTGAGCAGCCCCGGTGCTCTGGTCGCTCCCAGAACCCGCCGTGGTCCGGCAGAGCAGCGGTGAGCAGCGGGCGCTGACCTGCTGTGGCTGCCCCGGCTGGTCCTGCTCGGCTGCGGCCCTGGGGCCCCGTGGCTGCTCCAGGTCGGGTGGCGGCAGCGTCCGGGGATGCTCGGAGGCTTTCAGCTGGAGCCATGAGGGTGGCAGAGGCAGGACCACCGCTGGGGCTCCTTGGGTCTGGATGGAAGCCAATTTGGGCAAAGACAAATCCATTCGACTTGTATTCTTTACCTTTTCTCATTTACATTTGTGGACTCTTGCAATGAAGCTCCTTTCTGAATATGGACATATGCTTAGAAGGACATAGGCGTGAACACACGGACACACATGGACACACGCATGTGAGCACACACGCCTTTCCTTCTCATGTTTTGCTTCATGTGGATGGCAAACAGAGCTGAAGAATACTTTGAGGCTTGTCCAACCAGAGGCTCTAAACCAAGCATCTGTTTTTGGTACCTTGGGGCTGTTTCTCAAAATGCAGATTTGGGGTCCTGTTGGGACCTAATTGAATCCAAGTCTCTGGTGGTGGGGCCCAGGAGTCTATTTATAACATGCTAATCTGGTCTAGCCCCCTCCCCCTGCAAGAGGTCGCCTCGTGCTTGGTGAGTGGAGACGTGTTTCAGTTTGCTAGGGCCGCGGTAACAAAGAACCACAGACCAGGGGACTTAAACCACAGACATTTATTTTCTCCCAGTTCCAGAGGCTGGATGTCCAAGATCAAGTTGTCCGCAGGGTCGGTCCCTTCTGAGGCTGGGAGGGAGAGTCTGCTTCAGGCTGCTTTCTGTGGGGGGTCAAAGGTCATCTTCTCCCTGTGTCTCTGCACCCCCTGTCTTCCATTTATGCGTGTCTGTGTCCAAGTTTCCCTTTTGATAAGGGCACCAGTCATACTGGATTGGGGCCCACCCTCATGACCTTAGTTTAATTGGATTACTTCTGTAAAGACCCTGTCTCCAAATAAAGTCCTGGTCTGAGACACTGGAGGTTAGAGCTCCAACGTATCCTTTTCGGGGAGACACAATTCGACCTGTAACAGCATCCGTTTCTATAATAGATGACTATGTCATGAGCATCCCATGATACTAACATGATCAGAGCTAATGTTTTGGGGTACTCACTATCCTTGCTAAGTGTTTTACATATACTATTTAATTTTATATATTTTATTTTATTTTATTTTTTTATATAAATTCAATTAGCCAACATATTCATTAGCCATCATTAGTTTCAGATGTAGTGTTCAATAATTTATCAGTTGCATATAATACCCAGTATTTAATTCTAACCATCATAGCAAACTTTGAAGACGTTGTTACATTTCCCAATTTGGAGACAATAAAACTGAGGCTTACAGAAACTAGCTAACTTGCCCAAGGCCCCATCACGAGTAGATGGAGTAGAAGAATGATGCCAAACACCATGCTTTTTTCTGCTGTATATTCAGTTGTCAGAGGCTTTAACCGTTGCCCAAGTCTCTTTGCTTTGAGCCAGTATTTACTCCCCTCTGCCCTTGGTCTAATTCCTTTGTCCTTTTTGTGGGGGCAGAGTGACTGTATTCCTCCTCTTTGTCAGAAGCTTGTAGAAGGTTTCTAGGCCCTTCCAAGCGTTCACTTTCTGGTGTACACACCTTTGTTCTTTCCTGGGTGACACATCCTGAGTCCTCTAACTGCAGTGGCCGCCTCTACTTGGACCTCTCCAGTTTGCTGATGAGCACCTTCGTGTTGTCCCCAGTGTAGACCGGAACTGGGTTTGGACACAATCCTGCTCCAGGTGTTGGCTTATGCTCATGGTAAACCAAAATCTCCCAGCTACATGGGTACAGTGTCTCATCAAGGCAGATGACACACAGTTTCTGTCCTTTCTGTGTAAGAGTATCAGAATAGAGGCTAAGCACACATTGTGAGCCAGAACTCTATGCCTACTTGGTGTCAACCTAAAGAGCATGTTCCCACTCTACAGACCAGGGCAAAATTATAAACCGAGGCATGTAAGCCCTAGTGTTCCAGACAGAGTGAAGGCCCTACTGTTGGGACCCTTCCCCACGTTTCCAGCTCACGGGACAGTGCCAACATCAAACTACCCCCCTTAGGTAGGCCTCTCATGCCGAGCAAGCCAGCAGCGAGGGTCTGTCAATGGTGTGTTGGATTTCTCCCTCCCTGCAAGGCTCTTGTATATCTGAAACCAGAAAGGACTTTCCTTTTCTCCATCTTAGTGTCTTACTTTAGCTTATGTAGTTGCCCTTTGATAACTTCAGAATTCAAGAGATGGTTATTGTCCCAGACTTGTGGTTTCATACTTGGCCTCCTGAACGACTGAAGAGATTGACATCACCGCATTGAGTGTGACCATACAGCCTGACTGGTCTCAGCATTTACTATGGGACAGGTGCCTGGCTGCTGAGCCCTCCCTCCCTCCCTCCCTCCCTCCCTCCCTCACCAACAGGGATGGGCTTTTGTTCCAGGTATTGTTCTAGATCCTGGGGATCCTGAGGTTGAACTAGACAGACAAGGTTCCGGCTCGCAGGGATGTTCTAATGGTGGGTCAACTGGGCCCCACCACCAGAGACTCTGTTGACCAAGCAAGTAAACCAATGACGTACATTCAGGTTGTGATAACAGCAGTGTTCAAAGTAGACAGGACAACAAGGTGTGTGTGCACGTGTGTATGTGCATCTGCATGTGCATATGTGCGCATAAGCCTTCTCCTCCCAGGTTCCTCCAATGCTAATCTTTCCAGTTTCTGGCTTATGCACCATAAGCAGAGCTACATTCTCTTGACACACCTTTATGTCGGCACTGTGTTACCTGTGTCACCTCCCATCATTTGCCAGGTGAAGATCATGCAAAATAAATTTTGAATTTATCCCATTTGTGGAATTAGAATTAATTAAATATGCACTCAACCAACTGAAAATTATGAGTGGTTCTTGCCAGTGTTCTTGTTGAGTTGTACATGATTGTGGATACTGGGTATGAAATGACCTGTTTGAAAGCACCTCTGTCATGTGAGCATCAGTGGAAGCAAAGTGGAGCCAGGAGAAGTTGTGGAGTTGAGCCAGGGGTCTTTCTTCCTGTATCTCTGCCCTTCACCTCCTCAGTGAGGCCCACTTTCCCCCTTCCAGCCCTCTTCATCCTTGGTCTCCTCCACTTATCCAAGTAAGAAGAGAGTGTCATTACTGGTCAGATGGAAAATTGGGGTTGGGGGTACTAGGCCTGGGACTCCATCCAGAAATGCAAGATGGTACATTTTTCTGGAGCCTCTAGAGTTCTCATTCCTGGGGACCCCGAGCTGGCCCACTGAGTCAGGGGCTCCAACAGGTCACTGCATGGGAAGAGAGGAGCCGTGGGTGAGGTTTGGAGACAGCCAGGGATGGGATCCGTATCGGAACAAACACTGTCATCCCAAGGGGCAAGAGGGCCTCAGACCCTGGGAGGAGAGATGGCACTTACCGGGTCCCTGGTTTCCTGAAGCTCAGTAGGAAGGGGCTGACAGCCACATTCAATATCCCAGCTCCTTGCGTGGAACCCTACTGAGGTGGAAAATCTTGCAGGCTCTCTTTTCTTTCCCCTTCCCTTCCCTTCCCTTCCCTTCCTCTCTCCCTCCGTTCCTCCCTCCCTCCCTTCCTTCCTTCCCTCCTTCCTTCCACATTTTAGGCAAACAATCTCATTTGTGAAGTGGAAGGCCCTGGCCTCTTTAAACAGGCATTGGCAGACTGAATGGCCTATCTCCTGGGCAGTGGGGTGAGGGTGTGGGTGCTGCTCTGAGCCCAGCCTCAGGTCCCTCTGAAATCTTACCCTGGGTTGGAGCACTCCTCAAAGGAACCTCCCAGCCTGCTCCTGCGTGGCCCCTGGATGGGGGTCAGGTTCACTCGTGGGCCATTGTTGCTGCTTCCAGGCTTCTGTGCGTATGTCCCCAAGCTTGGGCTGGGGGCAGCTGGGCTCCCTCTGCTGCAGCCCAGGACTGGAGCCCACCATTTCCTTGGAGTTCTGCCCTGTGAGCTGGCCACCTCCTTCCTGGCTTTCCCTCCCCTGGCTCCCTCCCTTCATTTCCATCACAGAAGCTGGGGCTCCCCTATTAACCTTCCTTTAGCCCCTATTCTTCCCTCCCTCTGGGTAAAGATTTCCAGCTCTGCAGAGCTCATTGCCTGGGAACCTTCTGTGCATCTTCTATCCAAGCCTCTGCCTGGGTTTCCCATCTACTCTGAGGCAGAGGTGCCAGGAGTCCATCATTCCTGCTGCTTTGGACTTTTGGCCAAAACTAAAGCAGGAAGCAGGAAGCAGTTATTTGTGCTACTTCAAGTGTCCTTCCTCTGGGGTCCAGGAAACTTCAGCCTGCCCAGGGGCAAGGAGATGAACGATACAGAGAATCCTGCCCTTGGGATAACCTGTAAAGAATATTCAGGAAAATTGTTGACCAGGATGCTGATTTCAGCTACTAGAGAAATAACAGTGTGAGATAAGAAAAAAAATACTGAGAGCTCTTGTAGAAATAATTCCACTAACTGTGATTTGAACAAACTACTTATCACCCATGCCTATTTGTCACAGGGCAGATAAACACTCATGCACATTAAAAAAAGTCTACTTAACTTGGAGGCAAGTTTTCTTCCATTATAAATAGTCAAATCTCACTCATATGTGTGCCACCTTCCTGGTGTGTTTGGGTAATGTGGTCTAAAAAGCAGCTAGAGAGACACTGGTCGGTAATGACCATGGAGTAGGCACCCCACTGTGGACATTTTATCAAACAGGCTACTTGTGTTTCTTCCTTTCCATAGTTGACACATCATGGAAAATTTGAGTGCAAATAAAAACTTCTCATCATACAGTATTTCAAATATCCTTTAAGATCTGTCTCTAAAGCATGCATTCTCAAAGGGGCAATATTGTACTCAAGAGAGCATAAAAATCATACTCCTTTATACAGTGTTTATACAGCTTTTTATGTGTAAAACGTTGATATACATACAACACATGAATAGATATGCAGTATGTCTTTAATATTAAAATTTTATTGGGAAAGGGATTTGGACAAAAATGTCTTAAAACGTCTTAAAAGCCTCATTGCGGGGGTGTGGAATAAAAAGCTTGAGAAACACTGCCCAAATGGGTACTGCTCGTATTCTTCTATTTTATAGTATTTCCTTCTAATTAGTTTTTCAATAGAAAGGTGGATTTTCATATCTTGAGCTTGCTCAGAGTCAGACAGATCTATTGAAAGTCTGTTACTGCTAGAAGGCAACATTCATCCATCTTAGCCATTGTACAGCAGCCCCCAGGAGAGTCTTCTAGCTGGGAAACCTGTGCTATTATAAAATAATAAGGCTGCTTATTGTCCACAGCTCGTGCAAGCAGTCTCATTATTATTTTATGGTCAGATCTCTGGTGATAATAGTACTGATAATTACAATGCCATATTTCATCAAAGCAAGACTCCACTGATTGTAAGATGTGCCATTAAAATTTGACACAATGCTAGGCTGCTGAGGACAGTCAGATGCACTAAGAAATATTAAAATGTGGGAAGATGTGCATCTTAGGATCAATGAAGAGCAGAAATGATATCTGACAACCTCTGAGTCTTTACCACATGCCTGGTTTATCTCACTGAACACTTTCAATGGGGTTATGCCCATTATAAGCAATGATACTTCTTATTATCCCCGTTTTTTAGAAGAGGACAACTGAGATTCAGAGACGTTAAGTAACTTGCCCAGGATTGCAGAGCTCCAAAATGTTGGGAGAAAGAATCAGCTCCAGGGCCCTCACACCTCAGCATTCTGGAGAACACTAGGCTGCATCTTCCTCTACCTCTCTTTTACTCCCAGTTACTCCCAAAAGCAGGTGGTCCTCAGTTCACTCAGCATACAAGTTTGTAGAGAGGGCACACATGGGATGCTTGTATGTTTCCAATTCACAGGGGAATTTTATTTTTTAAAGGGGTGCTATGGAAGAAAGGCTTTGGTTGTGTGGTCTCCCCACGCCCTCCTGATCTGGTAGAAGGAGAATTTATCTTGAAGCCAGAAGGACGAGGGTTCGGTCCTCACTCCTGCACACCCTTGCAGTGGTAACATGGCTGAAAGTTCACCTTTCTGAGTCCCAGTGTCCAGGTATGAGTCTTGAAGACTCATAAATCCAGGCTCTCATGGTCACACAGCCTCATTAATAAACTCCTGAGGATGAGATGTTAAACCCACACTCCTAATAGCTTTATAGCTTTCTGCTTGGGGGTTGCTGTGTGGGGAAGGTGTCCTATTTTTATCTCTCTTTTGCCTTTGTTCGGATTGCTATTCTGTAAAGGATCTCGGCCATCCAGAGTGTATTTAGTTCATTTGGCTGGGACACTTCCTTAATGGTATAGAGATAACCAAGTGTACAGTTTATATTGGCATTGAGAATTTTGCCTCTCTCAAGAATATTATTATCTTAACTTATTGTTTGAGGCTCCATTGCTTTTGGATAAATACGAAAATGTGTTTTCTCTTTCTCTATTCCAGTGGGCAGTTTTTCAAATGGACTGTAACAGAAGCTTCTCTGTTTGCACTGGGAGTCACCTCAGGTTTACATTCAGAAAACTGAATAAAAATGGGCAGCAAACAACTGAGCTAAAGCAGAGGAATGAGAAGAAGTTGTTTGATGAGGATTTTGCAGAATAATGGCACAGAACCATTATTATGCAGAAGGACTTGGCGGCTTCTTGGGAAGGTGGGTGTTTGTGTCTCCTCGCCCCAGGTAGTCATTCCCGAAGATTCCGATGACCCTTCATCCCTCAAGCAAAACTGCACACATAAGGCACAGGATCCTTCCACACTGGCCTCACTTAGACTGGGGTGCATTTCCAGTAAGTTCTCCTTCTTTTCTGACTTCATGTGCTATTTGAAGTTATTTAAACCAAACCCAAACAGACCAAACAAAAATTCCATAAAAGGTGATGGCTGCTGGAGCTTACCCAGTAATATTTATTCTGCCAGTTTCTGGACAGAAAGATGTTCTACATTTGTTAACTATACATTTTGCCAAAAGTCAAAAGGAAGGTCCCCCCCCCAATATTTCTCCGTAATTTTAGTTTGCTTGAGTAAATATTGTCAAATGAACAAATAATCTTTGGCCTGTAGGTGTTTGGGTTAGGTTTTTTCCTTGGAGTTTGGAGTCCTGGTCTTGGACTGGGAAGGTAAGCCGTGCCTGTGATTCATACTGGTGCTTCCCTAGCAGCTGAGCAGCTGATGGGGCTCATCAGAGCTGACCATGCTGCTGTCTCTCCCAACCTGGCTTTCAGCAATGCCATGTTGGTAGCTTGAAATCGGCCTTGAGGAAGTATTTACACCACAGAAATTGACAAATCCTACAAACCAGGGCCTTCTCCCTGCCCCTTTCCCACCCTGAGATCCCATTGTTTAATACTTACGCTTCTCCAGTGCCTATGACTATTGAATCTTGGTGACAAACCTTAGAAGACACGTTATAAATGTTGGACAGAAAGTCACTGTCCAGGCCTGCAAGAGGCTCATTTTAGATCTGAAGACACCTGTAGATTGAAAGTGAGGGGATGGAGAACCACCTATCACTAATGGATGTCAAAAGAAAGCCGGAATAGCCATACTTTTATCAGATGAAATAGATTTTAAGATTTTATTTATTTATTTGACAGAGAGAGACAGAGAGAGGGAACACAAGCAGGGGGAGTGGGAGAGGGAGAAGCAGGCTTCCCGCGGAGCAGGGAGCCCGATGCGGGGCTCGATCCCAGGACCCTGGGATCATGACCTGAGCCGAAGGCAGACGCTTAACGACTGAGCCACCCGGGCGCCCCCAGATGAACTAGATTTTAAACCAAAGATGGTAACAAGAGATGAAGAAGGGCACTATATCATAATAAAGAGGACTATCCAACCAGAAGATCTAACAGTTGTAAATATTTATGCCCCTAACTTGGGAGCACCCAAATATATAAAGCAATCAATAACAAACATAAAGGAACTCATTGATAATAATACAATAATAGTAGGGGACTTTAACACTCCGCTCACTGCAATGGACAGGTCATCTAAGCAGATAATCAACAAGGAAACAATGGCTTTGAATGACACACAGGATCAGATGGACTTAGCAGATATATTCAGAACATTTCATCCTAAAGCAGAAGAATACACATTATTTTCAAGTGTGCATGGGAAATTCTCCAGAATAGATCACATACTGGGTCACGTATCAGGTCTCAATAAGTGTAAAAAGATTGAGGTCATACCATGCATATTTTCCAAACACAACGATATGAAACGTGAAGTCAACCACAAGAAAAAATTTGGAAAGACCACAAATACATGGAGTTTAAAGAACATCCTACTAAAGAATGAATGGGGTTGGGGGGGCACCTGGGTGACTCAGTTGGGTAAGTGTCTGACTTCAGCTCAGGTCATGATCTCAGAGTCCTGGGATGGAACCCCACATCGAGCTCCATGCTCAGCGAGGCATCTGCTTCTGCCTCTCCCTCTTCCCCTTCCACTCACATACCTCAACATCATAAAGGCCATATATGAAAGACCCACAGCTAATATCATCCTCAATGGGGAAAAACTGAGCTTTTCCTTTATGGTTAGGAACAAAAGAGGGATGTCCACTCTCACCATTACTATTTAACATAGTACTGGATGTCTTAGCTTCAGCAATCAGACAAAAACAACAACAACAAAAATAAAAGGCATCCAAATTGGCAAGGAAGAAGTCAAATTTTCACTGTTCATAATATTGCTATAAACATCACAGTGCATGTACCCCTTCAAATGTATATTTTTGTATCCTTTGGGTAAATACCTAGTAGTGCAATTGCTGGGTCATAGAGTAGCTCTATTTTTAACTTTTTTTTTTTTAAGATTTTATTTATTTATTTGACAGAGAGAGAGTCAGCGAGAGAGGGAACACAAGCAGGGGGAGTGGAAGAGGGAGAAGCAGGCTTCCCGTGGAGCAGGGAGCCCTTCTGGGGCTCCATCCCAGGACCCTGGGATCATGACCTGAGCCGAAGGCAGACGCTTAATGACTGAGCCACTCAGGCGCCCATATTTTTAACTTTTTGAGGAACCTCCATACTATTCTCCAGAGTAGCTGTACCAGTTTGCATTCCCACCAACAGTGTAAGAGCGTTCCCCTTTATGATTTAAAGGGGGTACATGCACCCTGATGTTTGTAGCAGCATTATCAACAATAGCCAAATTATGGAAAGAGCTCAAATGTCCATCGACTGATGAATGGATGAAGAAGATGTGGTGTATATATACAGTGGAATATTAGTCATAAAAAAGAATGAAATCTTGCCATTTGCAATGACGTGGATGGAGCTAGAGAGTATAATGCTAAGAGAAATAAGGCAGAGAAAGACAAACACCATATGATTTCACTCATATGTGGAATTTAAGAAACAAAACAGATGAACATAGGGAAGGGAAAATAAAATAAGGTAAAAACAGAGAGGGAGACAAACCATGAGAGACTCTTAACTATAGAGAACACACTGAGGGTTGCTGGAGGGAGGTGGGTGGGGATGGGCTAGATGGGTGATGGGCATTAAGGAGGGCACTTGTGATGAGCATTGGGCATTGTATGTAAGTGATGAATCACTGAATTCTACCCTTGAAACTAATATTCTGCTATATGTTAAATTTAATTTAATTGAACATAAATTTAAATAACACCTTGAAACAAAAAAATAAAGATAAATATTTTTTTTAGTTGTTACTCAGAAGAATATTACTTAAATTTAGTAGCTGTAGGTTAGAATAGCTACTAAATTGATTGGAATATTTTGTTTTCTTCAGAAATATTTTTGTCACAATGATACTAATTATAAATGAGTTATATTAAAAAAGAACAAGAGAGAAAGTCAGTGTCTGGGAACCTGGTCTGGGGCTTTACCAGCAGACGAGTAAGCTGGGCACTCCTCTTGCCACCATCTCCACCATCAGTCACCTGGAAGTTGTTGCTGTACCTGTGTGTGAGCCTCTGTGTGTGTGTGTGTCCCTATGTGTGCATCTGTGTGATTGAGTGTGTGTATGTGCACATGTGTGTGATTGAGCCTGTGTGTGCACGTGCATGTGCATTCATCCTTGTATGCGTGCATGTGTGTGATTGAGCCTGTGTGTGCACGTGTGTGCATTCATGCATGCACGCGTGCATGTGTGTGATTGAGCCTGTGTGTGCACATGTGTGCATTCATGCATGCATGCGTGCATGTGTGTGATTGAGTCTGTGTGTGCATGTGTGTGTATTCATGCATGTGTGTGTCCCTATGTGTGCATCTGTGTGATTGAGCGTATGTATGTGCACACGTGTGTGCATGTGTGTGATTGAGCCTGTGTGTGCACATGTGTGCATTCATGCATGCATGCGTGCATGTGTGTGTATTCATGCATGTGTGTGTCCCTATGTGTGCATCTGTGTGATTGAGCGTGTGTATGTGCACATGTGTGTGCATTCATGCTTGCATGCATGCATGTGTGTGATTGAGCCTGTGTGTGCATGTGTGTGTGTATTCATGCATGTGTGTGTGTCCCTATGTGTGCATCTGTGTGATTGAGCGTGTGTATGTGCACATGTGTGTGCATTCATGCTTGCATGCATGCATGTGTGTGATTGAGCCTGTGTGTGCATGTGTGTGTGTATTCATGCATGTGTGTGTGTCCCTATGTGTGCATCTGTGTGATTGAGAGTGTGTATGTGCACATATATATGCATTCATGCTTGCATGCATGCATGTGTGTGATTGAGCCTGTGTGTGCATGTGTGTGTGTATTCGTGCATGTGTGTGTGTCCCTATGTGTGCATCTGTGTGATTGAGCGTGTGTATGTGCACATGTGTGTGCATTCATGCTTGCATGCGTGCATGTGTGTGATTGAGCCTTTGTGTGCTTGTGTATGTGCATTCGTACAAATGTGTGCATGTGTGTATGTGTGTGATTGAGCCTGTGTGTGCACGTGTGTGCATTCATGCTTGCATGTGTGCATGTGTGTGATTGAGCCTGTGTGTGCATGTGTGTGTGTGTGTGTGTGTACATGTGTCCAGAGGCTCCTGCCAGCAAGCTTGGAAAGCAGCCCCCATTGGATGGGGCTGGGCATTTGCTAGCCAAGGCAAACAGCTGCTCAGGGCAGTACATGGCTTTGTGGGGGTGAGGAATGGCTCTCTAGGAGAATCTGAGGATGGGTGCGACTCCTATCCCATCCTTCCCTTTCTCTTGCCTACTGCTCTTTCCTGTCTGTTAAACTTAACATTCAGGAACTTTTAAAGAGGAAAGGGTGCCTAACGGGGTGGTTGGTGGGGTAGGACAGAGGAGGGAGCGCTAATGCTGCCTGTTTACCTGGCAACAGGGAGAGTTTTTGGGATGGCCATATGTCAGAGCCTTGGGGCTTCTCTAGAACCTTCCAGCTGGGCCCCCAATGAGAACTAAGACTGAACTCAGGGACCTGTGGCTTTGTGCAGTTCTTGGTTGTTGTTTGGCCACTGTAGCTACTGTTCAGGCTATTAGGCCTGAGTGACCACCCAGAGTTAGAGATGTGGGAAGGATCCAGGGTTTCTTCTCTGTCCCCTGAGGCTGGCTTGCTCCAGCCCCTCCATGTGCTTATGGTTTGCCTCTTTGCTCTACAATCTTTACACAGGGATCCACTGGGGTAGGTCCCTCATATTCCCATTTCACGGTTGGGCAGACTGAAGTGCCAAAACA